CCAGGCACATCTGGGCCTTCCAAAACCTCAGGGCTTTGGGAGGAACCATCCAAATGTTGTGGGAAATGTGGAAAAACAGCAGCCTGAGCTGCTGGGGCAGGGATGGGGGAGCTGGAATTTCTGTACTGGGAAATCATAATAGGAATATGGGAACTGGAGTTCCTGTACTGGGAGATCAATAGGTGTAAGGGTGTGAGAGCTGGAATTCTGTACTGGGAAATTGTAGTAGTAATATGGGAGTTGGAATTCTATACTGGGAATTCAGTGTAGGGATATGGGAACTGGAGTTTCTATACTGGGGAATCATAATAGGAATATGGGAACTGGAATTTCTGTACTGGGAAATGAATCAGTGTAGGGATATGGGAACTGGAGTTCCTGTACTGGCAGATCAATAGGTGTAAGGGTGTGAGAGCTGGAATTCTGTACTGGGAAATTGTAGTAGTAATATGGAAACTGGAATTCTATACTGGGAATTCAGTGTAGGGATATGGGAACTGGAGTTTCTATACTGGGAATTCAGTGTAGGGATATGGGAACTGGAATTTCTGTACTGGGAAATGAATCAGTGTAGGGCTATGGGAACTGGAATTTCTGTACTGGGAAATCATAATAGGAATATGGGAACTGGAGTTCCTGTACTGGGAGATCAATAGGTGTAAGGGTATGAGAGCTGGAATTCTGTACTGGGAAATTGTAGTAGTAATATGGGAATTGGAATTCTATACTGGGAAATTGTAGTAGTAATATGGGAATTGGAATTCTATACTGGNCTGATGCGCCAGACCTTCTCCCCCTTCGGGCAGATCATGGAGATCCGCGTGTTCCCCGACAAAGGCTACTCCTTCGTCAGGTGGGGGAAAATGGGGGGGTCCCAGGGGGGAGTGGGATTGGAGTCCCAGGAAATATTCCTAATTAATATCCCTATAAATATTCCCAATAAATATCACCAGTAAATATTCCCAATAAATATCCCAGCAAATATTCCCAATAAATATCCCAATCAATTTTCCCAATAAATTTTCCCAGTAAATATCCCAGTAAATATTTCCAATAAATATTTCTAATAAATATCCCAATAAATATTTCCAGTGAATATACCAATAAATATTCCCAATAAATATTTAAAATAAATATCCCAAGAAAATATTCATGGTAAATATTTCCCATAAATATCCTCCATAAATATCCCAATAAATATGTCAGTAAATATTCCCAATAAATATCCCAAGAAAATATTCCCAATAAATATTTCCCATAAATGTCCTAATAAATATCCCCCATAAATATCCCAATAACTATGTCAGTAAATATTCCCAATAAATATCCCAAAAAAATATTCCCAATAAATATTTCCAATAAATATCCCAGTAAATATTCCCAATAAATATCTCAGTAAATATTCCCAATAAATATCCCAATAAATATGTCAGTAAATATTCCCAATAAATATCCCAATTAATATTGCCAATAAATATCACCAGTAAATATTCCCAATAAATATCCCAATAAATTTTCCCAGTAAATATCCCAGTAAATATTTCCAATAAATTTTCCCAGTAAATATCCCAGTAAATATTTCCAGTGAATATACCAATAAATATCCCCAATAAATATTTAAAATAAATATCTCAAGAAAATATTTGCAGTAAATATTTCCCATAAATATCCCAACAAATATGTCAGTAAATATTCCCAATAAATATCCCAAGAAAATATTCCCAATAAATATCCCAGTAAATAGTCCCAATAAATATCTCAGTAAATATTCCCAAGAAATATCCCGATTAATATTGCCAATAAATATTACCGGTAAATATTTCCAATAAATATTCCAAATAAATATCCCAGTATTCCCAGTATATATTTACAGTAAATATCCCAATAAATATTCCTAATCAATATCCCAATCAATACCCCAATCAATATTCTCAATCAGTATCCCAGTCAATATTCTAATCAGTGTCCCAATAAATATCCCTTCAATATCCCAATCAGTATCCCATTAAATATCCCAATCAGTATCCCAATCAATACCCCAATCAGTCAATACCCCAATCAATCAATTGATCAATCAACCAATCAATCAATCAACCAATCAATCAATCCCCCCTCCCCAGGTTCAGTTCCCATGAGAGCGCCGCCCACGCCATCGTCTCCGTCAACGGCACCACCATCGAGGGCCACGTGGTCAAATGCTACTGGGGCAAGGAGAGCCCCGACATGGCCAGCCCTGTGCAGCAGGTGCTAATTAACCTCTGCTAATTGGCTGGGAANGTAGAGATTTGCAGGTCATTCCCAACAATCCTGTTCAGTCAGGACTGGAATTGCCCCCTAGTTCCTGACCCAGCCCTTTGCAAACCCCAAACCCAATCTCATCCCAGCCCTTTGCAGACCCCAACCCCAATCTCTGCAGCCCTCTGAAGACCCCAAACCCAATCTTTGCAGCCCTTTGCAAACCCCAAACCCATCTCTTTGAAGACCCCAAACCCATCTCTCTCAGCCCTTTGCAAACGCCAAACCCAATCTCATCCCAGCCCTTTGCAGACTCCAACCCCAATCTCTTTGAAGACCCCAAACCCAATCTCCTGCAGCCCTTTGCAAACCCCAAACCCATCTCTCTCAGCACTTTGCAAACCCCAGCCCCAATCTCTGCAGCCCTCTGAAACCCCTAAACCCGATCTCTTTGCAAACCCCAAACCCAATGTCTTTGAAGACCCCAAACCCATCTCTCTCAGCCCTTTGCAAACCCCAACCTCAATCTCTTTGCAAACCCCAACCCCGTCTCTGCAGCCCTCTGAAGACCCCAAACCCAATCTCTGCAGCCCTTTGCAAACCCCAAACCCAATCTCATCCCATCTCTTTGCAAACCCCAAACCCAATCTCTGCAGCCCTTTGCAAACCCCAAACCCAATCTGTTTGCAAACCCAAACCCAGTCTCTTTGCAAATCCCAAACCCCATCTCTTGCAGCCTTTTGCAAACCCCAACCCCAATCTCTTTGCAAACCCCAAACCCAATCTCTTTGAAGACCCCAAACCCAGTCTCTGCAGCCCTTTGCAAACCCCAAACCCAATCTCATCCCAGCCCTTTGCAAACCCCAACCCAATCTGTTTGAAGACCCCAACCCCAATCTCTTTGCAAACCCCAAACCCAATCTCATCCCAGCCCTTTGCAGACCCCAACCCCAATCTCTTTGCGAACCCCAACCCCATCTCTCTGAGGACCCCAACCCCATCTCTTGCAGCAAGCACCAAGCAATTGTCCTATGACGAGGTGGTCACTCAGTCCAGCCCCAGCAACTGCACCGTGTACTGCGNTGTGCCAGGGGCAATCCTGCTGGGAGAGGCTGTGCCAGGGGCAAATCCTGCTGGGAGAGGCTGTGCCAGGGCTGGGGGCACCCAGGGGCTGATCCTGCTGGGAGAGGCTGTGCCAGGGGCTGATCCTGCTGGGAGAGGCTGTGCCAGGGGCTGGGGGCACCCAGGGGCTGATCCTGCTGGGAGAGGCTGTGCCAGGGGCTGATCCTGCTGGGAGAGGCTGTGCCAGGGGCAGATCCTGCTGGGGGAGGCTGTGCCAGGGGCAGATCCTGCTGGGAGAGGCTGTGCCAGGGGCTGGGGGCACCCAGGGGCAGATCCTGCTGGGAAAGGCTGTGCCAGGGGCTGATCCTGCTGGGAGAGGAGGAGACGTGCTGCAGATGTGGGACTCTGCCTTTGGGGTGGAGATCTCAGTGGGACAGGGCTCAGAACAGGAGTTGAGGGGGTTGGGAGCAGTTCAGGGTGTTGGGAGGAGTTCAGGATTTTGGGAGAAGGAGTTCAGAGCATTGGGAGGACGAATTCAGGGTGTTGGAGGAGTTCAGAGCATTGGGAGAAGGAGTTCAGGGTGTTGAGAAATTCAGGATTTTGGGAAAAGGAGTTCAGGGTGTTGGGAGGGGAAGTTCAGGATTTTGGGAGAAGAAGTTCAGGGTGTTGAGAAATTCAGGATTTTGGGAGAAGGAGTTCAGGATGTTGGAGGAGTTCAGGATTTTGGGAGAAGGAGTTCAGGGTGTTGAGAGGTGAAGTTCAGGATTTTGGGAGAAGGAGTTCAGGGTGTTGGGAGAAGTTCAGGATTTTGGAAGAAGGAGTTCAGAGTGTTGTGAGGAGAAGTTCAGGGTGTTGTGAGAAGGAGTTCAGGGTGTTGAGAGGAGAAGTTTAGGATTTTGGAAGAAGTTCAGGGTTTTGAGAGGAGAAGTTCAGGATTTTGGGAGAAGGAGTTCAGGGTGAGAGGAGAAGTTCAGGATTTTGGAAGAAGGAGTTCAGAGTGTTGTGAGGAGAAGTTCAGGGTGTTGTGAGGAGAAGTTCAGGGTGTTGTGAGGAGGAGTTCAGAGCATTGGGAGGAAGGTGGAGCTGAGGATGTGCAGCTGGGAGCACAATCACACAATTCCAGTGTGGTTGGGTTGGGAGGCCCCTCTGGAGATGATTTCCTGCCAAAGCTCATTCAGAGCAGTGCAAGGGCAGAGCCCAGCAGGGTTTTGATGTGTGCTGACAAGGAGCTCCCACAGCCTGTTCCAGCCCTCCAAGGAAAGCTTTCCTTCATCTTTTCCCTCATATTTTCCTTCTTTTTTCATCATATTCAGGTGGAACTTGCCATGTTTCAGTCCCTGCCCTGTCCCTGGGCACACTGATCACTGTCCCCATCCTGTTCACAATCACCTTGGGACATTTGAAGCCATTCCCTGTGTCCTGTCCCTCCATCCCCTGTCCCCAGTCCCTCTCCAGCTCTCCTGGATCCCTTCAGGCCCTGGAATATTCTGGAAGCTCTCCCTGGAGCTTTCCTTTCTCCAGCTGAACCCCCCCCAGACCAATTAATCCAGCCTTGTTAATTTAAGAAAAAACCCCCTCCCCAGATAAAATACCTTAAACTCGACTTTGCCCCCCAGCCTTGCCCTGTAGGGTGGGATTTGAGCTCTGGAGGTGTCTGAGCTTTTTGGGATTTGCCAAACCTGATGTGTGCTTGCCATTTGCAGGAGGTCAAAGTGAACTGGGCCACCACCCCCAGCAGCCAGAAGAAAGACACCAGCAGTAAGTGTCACCTGAGCAGGGTGTGAGACAGAAACGCAGCACACACAGCTCTCTGGGGATGGTTTGCATTGGAATCCTAATTGTTGATTGTGTTTGTGTTAATTAAACTTCAGGGCAAATCTGATCTTTGCCATCACACAGCGTTCACAAGGTAATTGTAATTTCTTGAACATCAAATTGTGGATCTCCAGGGTGTTCCTGAAGCTGAGTTTGGGGTTTTTTTTTTTTGGTTTGTTTTCCATTGAATTTTTAGGGAAAAATTCCATTAAATTCTCTTCCATTTCCCTGTAGCGTCAGGAAGGGATTTGGTGCAAACCTGTGGGCAGTTGGGAATTAAAACCCAAAATGTCTCCAAAATTCTGGAGTTTTGAGGCACATTGAGCATCTCCCTCAAGGAGCATCCAGAAGGTTCCATCACTCCCAGCCATTTCTGTGGGAAAATCCTTGGAATTTCAGGCTGGTGTGGCTAAACCTCATCAGCGCCTGATTTTTAATAATGAATTTTGAATAACAGCTGAGTTTTAATAAAGGGTATTTTTAAGAAAAGGTTTTTTTTTTTTCCTCTGCTCTGCTCTGAGGGCATCTTCAAGCACTGAACCTCCTTTCTGTTTCCCCCAAAGACCATTTCCACGTCTTTGTGGGGGACCTGAGCCCTGAGATCACCACTGAGGACATCAAAGCAGCTTTTGCTCCATTTGGAAGAATCTCGTGAGTGTTTTTCAGGGTGGGGACAGCTTTGTGTGGATTCAGTGACACTGTGGCACTGCAGGGACAGCTCTGCTCACACAGCAGAGCCTTTATCCCACCTGGTTTGCTCTCCCAAAATCCCATTTGGGATTTTGTAAATCCCAAAATTTACATCTGCCCAAAAAATGGGCTAACAAATTGACCTGAGAATGAAAGAATTCATTGAATTTAATAATAATTAAATTTAATAATTTATTTTCTGTTCATTTCTGTGGAATATTTGCAATGAGCAGGTGGAATAGAATAGCAAATAAATCAGATTTTAAAGGTTCCCTTTGTGCTTTAGGGATGCACGGGTGGTCAAGGACATGGCCACGGGCAAGTCCAAGGGCTATGGCTTCGTCTCCTTCTTCAACAAATGGGTGAGAGATCTTTGTTTCCTTCCTAAAAAATGGGTAAAACCCTTCATTTCCCTCTTAAGAAATGGGTAAAATCCTTCATTTCCCTCTTAAGAAATGGGTAAAATCCTTTATTTCCCTCTTTAATAAACGAGAGAGAGGTCTTTGGTTCCTTCCTTAAAAATGGGTAAAATCCCTTCTTCCCCTCTTTAATAAATGGGTAAAATCCCTATATTTCCCTCTTTGATAAATTGGTAAAATAATTTATTTCCCTATTTAATAAATGGGTAAAATAATTTATTTCCCTATTTAATAAATGGGTAAAATCCTTTATTTCTCTCTTTACTAAAATGAGAGATCTTTGGTTCCTTCCTCAAAAATGGGTAAAACCCTTCAGTTCCCTCTTTATAAATGGGTAAAATCCCTATATTTCCCTCTTTGATAAATTGGTAAAATAATTTATTTCCCTATTTAATAAATGGGTAAAATCCTTTATTTCCCTCTTTACTAAAATGAGAGATCTTTGGTTCCTTCCTCAAAAATGGGTAAAAACTCAGGAGGGCACTGGGGTCACTCCCCTGGCCCTGTCCCACAGGAAGGGTTGGGGACACTCAGGTGACACTGAGGTCCCCCCATGGCCCTGTCCCACAGCAGGGGTTGGGGACACTTAGGGGGACACTGGGGTCCCCCCATGGCCCTGTCCCATGGGATGGGGATGGGGACACTCAGGTGACACTGGGGTCCTCCCATGGCTCTGTCCCACAGCAGGGGTTGGGGACAAACAGGTGACACTGGGGTCCCCCCATGGCCCTGTCCCATGGGATGGGGTGGGGACACTCAGGTGACACTGGGGTCCCCCCATGGCCCTGTCCCACAGGAGGGGTTGGGGACACTCAGGGGGACACTGGGGTCCCCCATGGCTCTGTCCCATGGGATGGGGTTGGGGACACTCAGGGGGACACTGGGGTCCCCGCCTGGCCCTGTCCCACAGGAGGGGTTGGTGACACTGGGGTCCATCCATGGCCCTGTCCCATGGGAAGGGGTTGGGGACACTGTAGGGTCACTCAGGTGACACTGGGGTCCCCCATGGCTCTGTCCCACAGGAGGGGTTGGGGACACTCAGGTGACACTGGGGTCCCCCCATGGCCCTGTCCCACAGGAGGGGTTGGGGACACTCAGGTGACACTGGGGTCACTCCCCTGGCCCTGTCCCACAGGAAGGGGTTGGGGACACTGCAGGGTCACTCAGGTGACACTGGGGTCCCCCCATGGCCCTGTCCCAGAGGACGGGTTGGGGACACTCAGGGGGACACTGGGGTCCCCCCATGGCTCTGTCCCAT